TCTGAGCGATGCAACGGGTTTATATGCCCATAATCAAACATACACTCGTTAGGTAACCATCCTGCTACTCGTGCCCACCATCCCCACCCTTGTTCCCAGCTCATCGATAGCGGGCGCGTAACTTCTCCAACTCAGTGACGGCTGCTAGGACTTGTGAGCTACACGTTCGGATGTCCATGAATACACAGAAAGCACGCTACCCAGCGCTATTGCTAGCTTGTTTTCATATTGTATATGACTACTTTGATTGTCAATATTATCAATTTAGCATACTATATAATAAGCTGACTCGTAGTACTCAAGAATGAAATAGAAAAGAAATCTGAATGGGACACCAACAACAAAAAGAAATGCACTACGTGAGATTCGAACCTTGCGTCACCGGGTCAAACACGATAACAACAATACGCCTGCCGACTGCACCAACAAGCCTTTGTCCGGACTGCGCATCAGGCCATTATATTATGGCCACGATTTGTCCGGACAATGAAACAGGCGTTCAAGCAGTTTTCGGCCGTTTTGTCCGGATAAAATCAGGCATTTGCGTCTGGGCGACCGATTTTTTGTCCGGACCGCGATCAGGCATCGATACCTATTATCGGGGGTCCTGTGCGCACCCACCAAGCTTGTGCCTTCTTTCCACGGATGCAGGAGCACGTGACGGTTTCGCGTTTCGCGTCAATGCCACTCACTACGGGCAAAGACCCTGTTTATGGCATTGATAGCAAGAGGCACGTAGGACTTCGGGGTCGGTAAAAATCATAGGCGAAACTTGATGCCCATGCCATAGAAGCACCAGCGCGAAACCAGCCAGATAGGGTCTATCGACAACCCTTGCGTTCGTGACGGTAAAAGACCAGGTGCATGATTGAGTACATACACAATGGAAACCATAAGAAATGCAGGTCCCCGTCGCGAAGCTGGTAAGATGTCCTCTAGGGGTCTGGTCCCTATGGCGCGTAGTTGTAGTGGCACGGTCGGGTGTTCGAACCCGTCGCAGGGACGATTCTTTTGCTTCGGCACTTTTGGTGCCAAAAACTCAAAGACGTGTCGGCAGATAAAGATTCTGTACAATCAGTTCTCTCTATATTGTGATTCACTGTTCACTCGCTCGTCCAGTGCAGTATACACAATGAATTTGGAGATGACATGAAACGAAGACGAAAGGATCACTGAACTAAGTATGCTTGCTGGAGAAAAGGAGCGGTCCTTGGCCGGGTTCGAACACCCGACCGTGCCACTACAACTCTGCGCCATAGGGACCAGTGCCCTAGAGGACGTCTTACCAGCTTCGCGACGGGGACCTGCATATCTTCACTTGTAACTATATATTCACTCAATTATGCAGCTGCCCTTCTATCGTCACGAACGCAAGGGCGAACCCTTGGCTGCTTTTCCGTTGGTGCCTCTAATCCTCACTGACTCCGCATACTAGATACCTCTTGCTACCATTGGCCATAACCTAAATATCTCTACTGCCTAGTATTTACTCTTGTGGCATCCAGTGACGACGACTATGTAAGAACACACCGGTAACATGATGAGGGAGCTAACGGCCAACGCGAATGCAAACGGATCACCCAATCGAGTCGACTTTCTGAATGTTATCCGACAGCTACGCGGCAACGAGTGCGCCTCAGAGCACGACGTCGAAGGGAGGATTGCTCTCCAGTCATTGACAATCGAGTCTGCACGGGTAAACGTATGTGTTCTGTACAGTCTTCAACCTTGCCGAGCCGTCATAACGACTAGTCCAGGTCTGCATCGCCTCTTTTATCAGCCAGTGAGCATTGCAATATGCCCCGCGAAATATCCTACTCTCCCTCAGCATTAATAGCATTGAGTAGATATCGGCAGCTGCGTACCTGTATATATCCATCCATGCCCGTCTGCGCAGGCTCTCATTATCCGTTCGCTTGCAGAGCAACATCGGTACCGGTATCCAGCACTTCCATAGCTTGTCCGCATTTCATGTGTAGTCCCACAGTATCATGATAGAGCGGTGGTCGGTTAGGCCCGGTGGAAGGCTTCGGGGGAGGCCAAAACGAAGACAATAAGATTGTGCGGAAGAAGTATGCTTGCCACTGCAGTAGGGTCCATAAGCAGAAATCTCGCGAAATATTTATCACAAATTATACTGATACATCTGGAGCCTATATGCGCCACCTCCTGCGATATACCCAATAGCCACCCATCCAGAGTGGAAGCACCAGTGACAGTGACTGCTACAAGGCAGCACTGACAGCCGGCTTTGTAGCTACAGCTAGGAGCGTCTTCCCGTCCATACCATGCATCTTGAACTCGGCGACCTGCTCCCACTCGAAATTTGTGAGGCCTTGCTTCTCGAAGACCGTCCTCAAGTCCTCCGGGGCGTAGCCGTGGCGTTCGAAGACATGCTGGTGTTTCTCGGGGATGAGCATGCTCCCGGACTCGTTCTTCAGAAGGTCTGCGACCATTAGGCGTCCGCCTGGTTTGAGGAAGTTGACGAGGATGCGAGTGGTGTCGTCGATGTCCGGGAAGTGGTGGTATGCCATAGAGCACTGATCACGGACACGTTACGTTAGATGCTGTGTCCGACCGTCCGGACGATGAAACTTGGAGCTTACCACTATCACGTCGAACTTGGTGCCGTCGAGCTCTCCTTCCTCCCCTTTTAACTCAAGACGGACCGCTTGCATCTCTTCAGGAGGGATGCCCTGGTTTGATACACGCAGATTGTACCGGTTCACCATGCCCTGACTGATATCGACGCCGACAATCTTCTTGCTATGAGGTGCCAGGATTCTCGAAATCAGCCCTGCACACCGAGCCGCATATTCAGACTTCTGTAAATAGTACAACAACGATGACAACTCACCCGTCCCGCAAGCATAGTCCATGACAACCGTACTGTCCTCGTCGAACTTGAACTTCTTCAGCATCGCGTTCGCAACTTTAGTCGTGAGCTCGATAGCGCCTGGCATCTCGTCGTACTTGTCAGCATTCTCGTCGAAGTAGTCGCGATTGAAGTCGGCGAGGTCCTTGCCGCCGTGCGAGTGGTCATGAGCATGGCCGTGAGCGTGTTCATGGTGGTGTCCAGCAGAAGAAGCGTCAGCCATAGTTGCTTCGATGTTGTCGATACTGTAACGTCTGAGAGTGCTTCAGATCGGATAGATGGAGTAAAGTCTGAGTATTTGTGGTCAGGTGTGCAGGCATTTTATAGCTGAAGAGCGCCAGTGCCAAAGCCAGAATTCCGGATTTACGGCGAACCCCGTTTCAATATCTGGGCCTGCGCTATCCTTCACTCTTGCATCTCAACCAGTCCGCAGGAGGTTCAAAGCATACAATGTGACATCTGCCGCTCGAGTCATCGGCTACAATGAGAGAAATAGGAAAGAAATCCCCTGTACGACCGTTGCGGTCCTCAGGCCCACGGCTGATGCCGAGATCAGCGACGGATGTGGCAAATCGAATATGATACACCGGTTTCTCGGTCTCGGAATCACCAGTGCCGAACGGGGATTGGCGATGTAGCGGGATATGTAGCTATAACCTGGTACGATATCGCAGTGGGATAGCATCGACTATTCATTCTGCAGGACTCAAGTCGGCCTGTACCAGCACATACCTCCACCTTACCCCCTCCACCGCCTTCTTAACGTCCTTCATGAGCAGCTCCTCGATCAACAGTTTGACACCCTCCTCTGCTGCAAGCTTGAGCGTCTCTACGCACTCTTTCTTGCTCCCAGGTGGCTCCACCCAAAGAACGAGCCGTTGCAGATGAAGCTCGTCGGCGGGATGACCGGGAAGGGTCTCCAGCCGCGGGGAGACCAACGGCGATAAACTCACCGTAGACGTAGAGGGTCGAGAAGAACTCAGCAAGCGGAGGCTGGAGGCTTCGTTACGCGTGGAGTTGACGGTGTCGAGCTGGTGTGCAGAGGGCTTCGCGAAGTCCTATAACAAAGTGCGTCAGAGAGCAGTGGAGGATGAGAAAACAGGTACGAACGGGATCGCCAGTGTGGAGTCTCCATTTTCTTGATGTCCTGGCCCTTGGAGGAGCTGTGCGTGAACACGATAACCTCGGCACCCAGAGCCTTCGCAAACCAGATCGCATACTGACACAGGTTCTCACCTCCGCCCCCCCCCCCCCCCAACGACGCCTTCTTTCTTGCCTGGCCCGCAGCTATTCGAGACTAACGGGGAGTAAACGGTCAAGCCGCCAAATAACATGGTCGCGGCATCCGTGGACGAGACTCCGTCTGGGACAGCAAAGACGGAGCGCTGGTTGGCGCGGATGGCCGTAGAGTAGCCGCCTTGGGTCTGGATCCCGTCTGGTATTGATGGTTCAATTTGCAGGCGGTTTAGAGAGGAAGCCCAGGGATGGGGACGAGACGTACGTAGGTCCAAACGAGGATCTGGTAGTACGTCTTGTAGCCTTCGGAGAACTCTGCAGTGCAGGCAGGAGCTCAATCGTGCGCCAATAACCTTTGACTCGACCCGCTAGTAACTTTGCCAATTTCATGACCTGACATGAGCGGTGAGTAGTCGTGTCCATTTGCAGTCAATATGCAGATACTGACCGACGATAAGAGGCAGCTTAGCCTGGCCCCAGTCCTGGCATGGGGACTGCACATCTGATGCGCAGACGCCACAGTGCGTGATCGCGATTCGACATCTGGTTCCTCAAATATTCTCGGCTCAAAGGAAACAATGTTGAACTCGCTCCAGTTAGAGGAATCTGCACACTGCCGCTATTAACACATCGCACGTACTCTTGGAGTTTGATGTGGGAGTTGAGACGCACCAGTCATGATGCATGATGGTGTCCGGTCTACATCAGGATACCGGTAATCCGGCCGCCGGCTGCATACTGTCCCAGTCCAATGTCATGTCGGCCTTGCGCAAAACCTGTATACCTTACATCGTAGCTGGTACGTTTTCTGGCCTTGCGTTGATGGACAGGTGCAGACTACTACAAGAGCTTATATTGTTAGATACTTTTGTATGGAACTCTTGCCCATGGACCCGTGGCTCAGTGGTAGAGCGTGTGATTCCAGCTGTTGGTATTTCCACAAGGTCATCCGTTCAATCCGGGTCGGGTTCAAACCCGCGCTTTTCCTTCATTGGTTGTTTTCCTGAGGTCGGGTTCGACGCGACGTCTTTTTCGTTCCTCCCTGGGCGTGATATATCATCATATGACCGGGACGTTTACACGCGGCCATACGCTGGAAAACGTAGAGGGTTTAAATCGGTCTATCATGCAAGGATCGTGATTTCTGCGGCTTGTCAAACGTACCGAAGCGTACAGTCACGTGACTGCATTCATTCCGATAATTCGCTCACCTTGGTCAGCTAAATCCTAGATAGCATTGAGATGCGTAACTCATGATAAATCGGAAAATATTCTACCTTGAGACCCTACCTCAATGACAAACTTCCACCATATTTCTTCCGCACAACCTCATTCATCTTATCCTTGACCTCCCCAAAAGCCTTCCACCATGCCTTCCCAATCATCTCCGAGGTGACCCTCCCCTCCTCACCAGGCCCCTTCTCTTCATCCTCACCAGCGCGCTCCCAAACCCCAAAATACCTCCTCAGCAGCACCAACCACCACCTTGCCACGTCCAGCGCGCGCTCTGTTCCTCGTCTGCTCTCCACGCACTGCACCATCCACTTCTCAAAATACTCCACATCTCTCCGGTTCGGCGGGTACTCGCGAAACCCCTCTACCCACTTCTCGATAACATTCTGCACATCGTCCGTCTCTGTGAAATAAAGCTTATCGCTCTTGACCCTCCCCTGCTGTTTGAGCGTCGGCAGCGGGATGTATCTGGCTTTCGGGAACGGCGGGCGCACCCATTTGACAGAGGGCGAGCGCGTGATGCGCCGCGGTTTGAGAGGCACTTTCAGAGAGAGCTTGCCAACATTCTGGGCCTGACGAGCGCCTGCGAGTTGTTCGCGTTGGAGATCCACAGGGAGCATGTTGAAGACATCGGAGTCGAGCCCAAGTTTCTTGAGTTCGGCGTCCGATACCTTCACAAAAGAGGGGCCAGATTTCGCGAACAGTTTGTTCTTGGATGGACACAAAACAGCCCTGTTCCGCGGAGCCAGCTGCTTCGTGATACGCTTGAGATTAGCCGCTTTCGCACCCTTGAACATGGTTTTCGAAGTAGGCACAGCGAAGGGCCCGACCGAAGGCGCACGAGAGCCCCGTCTCTGCATGAGAAACGGAGCGGGCGATTCAGAGCGACGCTTATATTCTCTTTCAAGCTCCTGGCGGACATCGGCTGGCAACGCATCGAAGACGGACCTGTCGACTTGTGAGAATGAAGGTAAGTCCACTATGGGCGCAGCATCTTGCTTCTCCTTCTCCTTCTCGGGGATGACCAAAACTGCCGGCGAAGGAGCAGCCTGCGGCGGAAGTTCGCAAACGTGACGAAGTTGATCGACTGGCACTTCCTCGCGTGTACCAGGCGTCTCGTCGACCTTGGCCGCGTTCTTCAAGCGCTCAAACTGCAGCTTCGCCTGCCCAGGCTCCGGTTCTGTTGCCGCTGAGCCTTTCTCAAGCTTCTGTATTTGGATACCGATACCCCGCAGCTCCTTGGGGTCGAAATTGAATGCTTTCAAGACTCGCCAAGCCTGCTCGCCGATGATCTGAGGATCGCTAGTTGCGCGTCCCGCGGGAATCACCAGAGTGCACTGCTTGTTGAATATCTCGCAGACGCCGTGTCCCATAAACTACTGCTTGTGAGTTTGCCTTCATGACATGAGGAGGATGACTGCATACTTTGGGTGGTTCCGTCGGAGCTTTCGGATCTCGCTTCATAATCTTGACCGTCATGGATCGACCCTTCATATCAATCTTGTCTAGCCGTCGTCCAAGCTCCTCCGCAAGCTGATGCATGAACGTTTCCGCTTCTTCGTTATTCTGAAACCTGATACCATACTGGAAAGTATATCAACAGACTGAAGATTAGCTCCCTATGGTGTACTCACATTTATCTCACACGACACCGACTTCCTCGGCTTATCGCTCTCTAGCTTCTTCTCATCGATACCCCGTAGGGCCTTGTACAAGGTCTCCCCAGTGCCCTTCCCCAGCGCCTCGCACAACACGCCTCTACTCTTCTTCGCCAGCTCGCCAAGAATTGTGGTGCCTAGTTTCTCCTGCGCTTTCTGATGGTGCTTGTGCCCAAACCCGTGAAGCTCGTCGATGTCCAGTGGTGTAATGAACTCTGATAGTTCGTTTGCAAGCAGGTGATACGATTTTGCGGGTTTGGCTCGCCGAGTGGCTAGGCGGGCGAGGAGGATATTGTGGGATATGCCGATACTCACTGTTATGCCGATAAGAGCATCGTGAGCTGATAGTCCCAAAAATAGGTGAATCGGATTGACCTTCGCAGCTCGTCGCTTTCCATACTTGAGACCGAATGACCTCTGCGAGGTCCTTCGCATGGTCCTCGGACTCTGTCCCAGATAACTTCCTCCGCGCAACAGTGCTGGAGACATCGAGCAGCGCTTCATCGACAGATACGGCTTGCAGATCGTCCGCGTGCGACATGAGGATAGTATAGAAAAGCAGGGAGAGTTTCTTGTACCTTCGAGCTACAATCAATACCACGATTAAGGCTCACACGAGTAATGCAACTCACTTCTCGAATTCATAGGGGATCGTGATAACATCCGGACAAAGTCTCCTCGCCTGCTGCAAACTGCCATAATCTCAATACAGCGTACGCTGCCTGCCAAAACAATTCCACTTACCTCATCCCACCCCTAATCCCAAACTCCCTCGCCTCATAGCTAGCACTGGCAATCTCACTCGTACTAGACAACCCACCCTGGCTTCCCTGCGAATGGCACACCACCACCGGCTTCCCCTTCAGATGCGGGCGATCGACCAATCCCGCTGACACGAAGAAGCAGTCAAAGTCGCAGTGCATAATCACCCTCTCCTCGGGCGTGTCCACCGCCTTGCCCTTGCCTTTCAGTGAGGGGAGAACTGCAGTTCCGCGCATACTGTACGCATCCCTGTCGCTTGCTCCAGCTTCGTGCTGTCCGTCACCGAGGTCATCATCATCCAAGCAAAGGAACCCCCTCTCAACGCGCTCCTGCGCCTCCTGCACAAGCCCCTTCAGCTCCGCCTTCCACGTACTCAAATGGTGCAACCTCGAGTTCTTATAAAAGCCCTCAATAAAGTCCGGCGCAACCGCCGTATGTGCCGCGCGCCAGGCAGGGTCGGCCATCCCTCGCTGAGCATGTTCATTCGACTTGAAGGCGGAGTAGCCGGGGATGGTTTTCGCTTCGGCGAGAGTTGCAGGGTCAGTAGAGTAGTGTGCGCGGGGAGAGGACTTTGACGGAGTCTTGGGTTTGGAGGGGGATTGAGGAGGCGTACGAGGGCTCAGGGAATCGGTCGTGACCTTTGAGGTAGATGCGATAGGCATGGTATCGGTTGAGGGTCCGCTCTTAGACGGCAACTGCGGAGACGTTGGAGGCACTGCCGCCGAACTAGAGGATGCGACGGCTGAGGAAGTAGACTTGCTGAGTATTGGCTGAGCGGACTCCGTCATACTGGACAGAAGAAACGTCTGAGCCGATCTCCGTCCTTGCGAACTTTCTACTCTTTCCCCGGATCTGAAGATGTAGTCTTGCCAGGGAAGGAGTATTCCAGCCGCCACACTCTCGAGGAGCCAAGCGGGTCGCACAACCTTCATGTGTTTAAACTCTTTGATCTTGGCTGGGGTCAATGAGCAGGTGATGATGTGCGTGCTGGGAATTCGGATTGAGTGAATTGGATATCGACATCATGCCGTTATGTGGGACTCACACTAAGGCTTTCCTGTCAAGGTAGGGATGATACTCTCCACCATGCTTAATGATGAGTTGCCGCAGGTCTTGCACGGACGGCTCAGTCCATCCATTTATCTACCAATAATTAATGACCAGGTTGTGAGACCTGATGAACCTTACTCACATAGATAGATAGACCATGAAACATCCTGCTCTTCCCACTCGTCTCGTGTTCCCCATCAATGTCCATCTCAGCATTCTGAATCTGCAGCTTTGCCCGCTTCCTCCTCATGTACTCCCCAAACTGACCAAACTTGGAGGCACCGTACGTCTCCGACTTCAAGTAATCCTTGCCAAAATCTTTATCACCCGCTGTTTCCGCTTGCACATCGTCCGATTCAGGGTCCTCCGGACGTACTCTCTTCACGTTTGGCTGGGCTTCTTGCTGATCACCATGGCGAGCTTCAATACCTCGATCAGGAAGAGAAATCGTTCTGAGGCCCTCCAGAAATGCCGAGTCCTGCGAACCATACCATTCAGACGAAGCAGCACCAGAGGCTGGTATCTCTTCCTCCATGACCTGTCACAAGAGTCGAAGTCGTCCCAGAGACACTTTGAGATCGACCCAGCTATCGAGTGATAGATAATTGTCGTCCTATTTATACCGCAAGTGAGCTCGCAAATAGTAATTTCACGGTTTGGTTGGGCGTCCTAGTGCGAGAGTAGCACTGGTTCACTAGTTTGCCAGAAATAATGAGAAATGCGTCCTCTTCCCAGAAGCCGAGAAATGCGTTCAGAGCAAGTTTCCAGTTCATTCGAAGTCGAGGCAAGCACTTAGACGCGGTGACGTGATGGCTGGATGTCACGTGACCGTGACTTCGTGACTGCCACACGCCTGTTGTGGCATCGCGCACTGCACAGTAGAAGGCTCTACTACCTCTGCATATGGTTTTTATATATACATATATAGTCGATAATATATTACATGTTACGTTGGCTTGCCATGGATGGTATCCACCCTTACAAGTCCTCTAATGCCAGACCATCGTTCTAGGTCTTGGGTATATATAACCCTCCTCTTGTCCACACCTCAAGCTCAAGCTCAAGCTTGAAAATCTATACACTCTCTTCAGTCACTAACATTAGCGTACTAAGTGCATTCCTCCGTTTTCTGTTCACCACGGCATTTTAAAATCATCCTGCTTACGAAGGGCTGCTACGGTCCACCAGTTTCCGTACGATGCTGCTTCAATCTTGCAAGTGATTCGGTCAGTTATGTAGAAATCACTTACGGCTGGGGCAACGGATTAT